TTCATGGAAAAAACAAACGAAGCTGTTCATAATGATTTTTCCCAAACATGGAGTATCTATAAAGCAGGGGAAAATAATTTCAGATACGACAAAAGCTTGATGAAAGCGTTAGTATCGTATAGTAGTGCTCATTTGATGTAATCTCCTTATCTTGGCAACTCCAAGTTTATTTTATCATTCTGTTTAGATATTTATGTAAGCATTGATAAGAATGGATGAAACAGATGGAACTGATAATTATAGCAAATTAAGTCTATTCTCTCCATTGTAAATTATTTCATCATTTTAAACATTATGAGTTCACGACAAAGTTACGACATCTTACGGTACCGAAAAGGAAATCTTATTATACCATTGAAACGAAGTATTTTGACTACCTTAATCTCCAACAATCATATTCAGCTGTATTTGTTTCGATCCGTAACAGTTTTGTATCGTCAATGGTCCATATACGCCTTCATAAACGACTAAGTATACTTCAAAATACTTTTTCTCAAAAAACCCAAGATGAAATATTTTAAAACCATCACTGATTTGATTGTTAAGATCCATTCTAACTTCCTGTGATGAAAAAACTGAGGTACATTAATGTTGCAAAAAAAAAGTGCCTTCAGACATAGCGTGAAGCGCTCTGGCTTCCGATATTCTTCAGATGTTTCTTCCAGTCTACCTTAGGAAGTTTCTGTCAGCGTCTCCAGGAAGTTTCTTTCGTCTTCTCCAGGAAGTTCAATGAATTCTCCCAGAAATTTCATTTGTCTTCTACTGGAAGTTTGACCATAAGCCAACGGTTTTTTTGTTCGACTTCTATTGGGAGGTTTTTCCGAGCTTCTTCTGGCTTTCCCTGGAAATGGCTACTTCAGGAAATTTACTTCCGGTTATTTAAATTTTCGCCACAAGTTTCTCAATTCGTGTCTTGGAGGTTTCCCGGATGTTTTTCCAGCTTTTATCGAACTTTATCCAGGAGAGCTTCTTTCGTCTTTCTCTTGATGTTTTTTCAGCTCCATTCAGAAGCGTATTGCGATCATAGTTAAACATTTTTGTTTTAAAACACTGCAACGACTACAATGTAATCTGCCGGACATTTCGGCCATGGGTTGTGGCTTTTTTCATGGAAAATATTTTTTGTCGTTGTTGTGGCTAATTTTCCATTTTTTTTTGTCATTTAATGATATTCAATTATTAAAAAAAAACACTGCTTGGTCACAATTTTGATCACCACTTGAGGACAACGGTAATTTAAAAAAATAAATTTAAAAAAAAACTTTAAGAGTGTCTTAAGACTGAGAAAGCCGTTCCCCTCAAATCCCAGTCATAACCATCGTTAAAAATTTCTCTTTCAAAAACGGTAAAAATATAAAATTAAATAAATAGTAAATACCGATAACCTGCTCTATAGTGCCTAGATGAGTGAAAAGAACTTACTTTGGGTACTTTTTTTCTTACCGTGCACAACACGTAAAGACAATGGAATAAGGCCCGAGATGTTGGCTACTGTCAAACGCAACCCCCTGCAATGAGATCCAGTTCTTGAAAGTGCCAAAAACATCAGCAGCGCTGCTGCTCCATATTACAGTTATGCTCAAATCATGTAACATTAAATGCGGCAAAGTGGCAACCAATATAATGCCCTCAAAAACCATTCTTAATTTCCTGCAATGATCAATTAACAATTGAAGTCTTATATTTTCGAATTGACGAGTATATTTTTCGTGAATCATGCTTTACTATAACGTAATGAAGAACATTTATTCTATTTTCCACAACGCGGCGCGAGATGTACCAAGCTTAATCGTCAAAGCTGTCAAATTAGCAGATGACAGGCGTTGCAGTTCTGTAGACAAACGCCAAAGATTTGGTCAGGGTTGCCAGAACTCTCAGGCATAGTCTGTTCAACTGGATGTAGTCCATGAGATCTAACTGAATATTCACATGAAATATTTCTGCGGTTCCTACTTCTATCAAAATGTTGCATTGATTTAAATTAGTTTTTAATGGAACTCACATCCCTAATAGAATATCTAATTATTATAGTAGAACTTACAGCCTTACTCTCATAAATAATGATCTGAAACAACTTAAAAATCCGATGCTCTTCAAGCAATCGGTTAATAGTTATACAATTTCCACCGAGTTCCTCGGAGGCTTCTCCTCAGCTCAATATCAAATCGTACACAGCAAAAAATTAATTTCAATATTGCATCCAAGAGGATGCACTTCAATCATGTCGAAAATCTCTTGTAATTTTTATTGTTGATTGCACGAATTTTTAGACTTCTGCGAGAAGATTTCAGTGACAGTTATGCTTGCGCACTCACTAATACTACTTAATCCTTATGTCAGACAGTGCAGCAGCAAACCATCAAAACCAAAACAAAACAAAATAAAATTTCTCACGATCTGTCAAATCACAAACCAACTAGGCTATCCAAGACAAGGAGAGGAGGTCTGGCAATGTGCAGCTTGTTGTTTTTTTTTCGCTCGCATTCGAATGGAACAGTGAGTTTGACGTCACACTTGTTGTTAAATGGTAACAGTAGGGGAATGAAAGAGACTATAAAATTAGCATTGCCCGACCTTTCTCTTTGACATAGCTAGGCTACGTTTGTGTGAGTAAGAGATAGGTGTACGCTGGGTGTGCGAAAATATTCACTGTGCAGAAATTTTCTGCACAGTTGTCTAAGAAGGTGCAAAATGCGCAATATGGTCACAAAAATAAATATATGCAGTAAAAGTAGCGTAATGTCAGTTCATGCACTGTATTGATGATAATTTTCAGAGTTGATAATATAAGACGCAGAGTGAAGCTTGCAACTCTGATTTCGATCAATGGGCATTATTTTAAAGGGTGATACGGTCAAAATTTGGTCAAGGGAAAACGCGTGTAAATTGGTTAAATCGTTTATTTAAAAAATCAAATTAAATTTCTTTTTCAAGTTCAATTAGTATAAAATTCAGGAAAAATATTCAGTTAGGCTTCCGCTTTTCCAAATCCGAATTGCCGGGCCTTACGCTTGACCCCTGCCATCAGATTTTGTACAGCCACCTTGTCCACCTTCTTCGCCGCAGAAAGCCAGTTTGCCTTGAACTGCTGCTCGCCCTTAGCAGTTTTTTTGGTCTTCTTTAGGTTCCGCTTGACAATAGCCCAGTATTTCTCAATTGGGCGGAGCTCTGGCGTGTTGGGAGGGTTCTTGTCCTTGGGAACCACCTGCACGTTGTTGGCGGCGTACCACTCCATGGCCTTTTTACCGTAATGGCAAGATGCCAAATCCGGCCAAAACAGTACGGAACAACCGTGTTTCTTAAGGAAAGGCAGCAGACGTTTATTCAAACACTCTTTCACGTAAATTTCTTGGTTGACAGTCCCGGAAGCTATGAAAATGCTGCTTTTCAAGCCACAGGTACAGATGGCTTGCCAAACCAGATATTTCTTTGCGAACTTTGACAGTTTCATGTGCTTGAAAACATCTGCTACCTTTCCCCTTCCTTTTGCCGTATAAAACTCCTGTCCCGGAAGCTGCTTGTAGTCGGCTTTGACGTAGGTTTCGTCGTCCATTACCACGCAGTCAAACTTCGTCAGCATCGTCGTGTACAGCCTCCGGGATCGCGCTTTGGCCGTCGTATTTTGTTTATCATCGCGATTTGGAGTCACTACCTTCTTGTAAGTCGATAGTCCGGCTCGTTTTTTGGCTCGATGCACGGTTGTAGACGATACACCCAGCTTATTTGCGGCATCTCGGAGAGAGAGGTTAGGGTTTCGCTTGAAACTACCGGCAACTCTCTTTGTCGTCTCAGCGGCTTCCGGTTTTCGATTTCCCCCCGATCCAGACTTCCTGGCTGTCGACAAACGTTCCCCAAACACTTTAATTACATTTGTAACGGTTGATTTGGCAACTTTTAGCGATTTTGCCAACTTTGCGTGCGAGTAGCTCGGATTTTCGCGATGCGCGAGCAAAATTTTGATACGCTGCTCTTCTTGCTTGGACGGCATTTTGACAACTGAAGAGTGAATTCCAAAATCAAAATAGGAGCAACATTCTACACACACACACCTTCAAAATGAGGGGTGTTCAGGTTTTTTAAATGCAAAATTGAAAGAAATACGTCAAGTTGATATTGACCAAATTTTGACCGTATCACCCTTTATGTTGTCAACCTTTGTTTGTTTACACCTCGGATGACTTCACCTGGGATAAGAAAATTTCCTCTAGTTTCGATAACAATACTTCCCACGCAACGGAGTCAGTTTGTCTACTAACATGCTCGATAGGTACACACCTAGAAATAACGAATTTTACACGTGACGGAATCCATCTGTGACATCAAATATGAGACGTGAACAAACATGTCATGTAATATTAAATGCTCCGTGACTGAAAAGTTCGTTGCTCGACAAAAAGTACGTTTGATTGAGCTGTATTTTGCGTCTGTTATGACTCAAATTTATGTCAAAATTGACGCTCGTATATGTCACTCTCAGCCTCCTGCTCACCTAAATTTACATGATTTTTTCTAAGTGTGTAGACAATTTGACAGTTTGATAGGTAGATTTTGGTTTCAGTCTGCCTAACTCTTCTATTATCAACTCTGATAATGTTGTCCTTTATTTTGGCAAGTAATATTACACTTTGATGTGATATCATCATTAATTTTTTGCTGTGTATGATTAAAGTAAACACTTCCTAAATAATCATCATTTCACCTTCTGCTATTGGAATTACCTGCAGCTATTCATCTACATTCTCTTTTGGGCTGCAACAACACTAAGATCCAAGTAGCGTCAAACGGGAGTGCACCGAAGCGTTACTTCACAGCAAAGTTGCATCCATCGGGGAGTGACGGCGTTATGCAATTTTCTTTGCGCCCAAGAGAAAGGATCGTCAAATGGCTTAGTGAACTACTTTTCGCAAGTCGGCTGATCAAAAATATGTTCGATTACATGACAGGTTGCTCTATTTTCCGCTATTCACATAATCACACTTTTTTTTTCTATGTTCAAACAGGCACACTTCCTCACGCTGGTCATTTTGGCCATCGCCACGGCACCGCTAATCACGGGTTACAGCTACTCGAGCATTCATAACTCACCATATGAGGATGATTACAGCAGTATAGAGGATAGCAGTTCGTTGGGAAGCGAAAGCGACGAGGTTCATCACAATGCGATCGTCACCCATTCGGAAAAGCAGGCAAACTATGCAGTTCCGGTCTATCAGAAGATCGGTGTCCCCGTTCCCCATCCGATCCCGGTTGCCGTTCCACAGTATGTGAAGATCAACGTCCCTCAACCGTATCCGGTACAGGTCAACGTGCAACAACAGATCAAGGTGCCGGTCTATAGGATAGTGCCGAAGATCATCGAACGGCCCGTGCCATATACGGTGGAAAAATCCTACCCGGTGGAAGTTGAGAAACCCTTTCCCGTGGAAGTGCTGAAGAAGATTGAGGTTCCCGTACCTAAGCCATACCCAGTGCCGGTTCCGATCTACAGGCACGTTACCCACAAGGAGAATAACCACCGGAGTTGGCGTTGGTAGAGCTGTTCTCCGCAGGCACGATGCCATCTGGTAATTAGGATTTCTGTTGACTTTATTTATTTCGTTTCAACTGACTTGTTATTAGAATAAATGTTATGTTTTGACTATGACTGCATTTAATTTGAAATCGAAAGAAATTGCAAACAATACTCACTTCTGTCGAAGTACGGCAACCAGGTATACTGTTCGCCTTTGACGGTGTCGTTGTCGTGCTCGGAACACTGCTGAGCCCTGAACGAAGGTATCTCCTTCGGGCAAGGATCGGTATTGCATGTTTTGTACCGAGCGCGCTCTCCGATACAAAACAGTCCCCCATTCGCTGGCGAAGGGTGATCGCATTCCCGCGTCTGCCGAGCAACTCCCCCTCCGCACTCGCGGGAGCATTCACTCCAACTGTTCCACTCACCCCAGCCTCCATCGACCGGGGGCGGGGGGTCTTCCACGTCCACGCATTGCTGGTTTTGGCACCACTTTCGTTTACCGCAGTTTGTGCCCGGGGCAGCCGGTCGCATCATGGTCATGCAAACTTCGTCCACCAGGCACCACAGTTGAGTGCAGATTTCGTCCAGCTTGGAGCACACGGTCATCTCTTCGTCGGTTGAGTTGAACTGCAGCCGACACTGGAAGTCGGCGTTGTACATCGCCCCCGGCGGAAGATCCGGATAGCTGTAGGTGTCCTGTTGACTGGGCGGATCTTCGAGGCATTTGCCGAGACCGAGGCTGTGTGGGAAGGAAGAGTGGATTGTCTTAATATGACGTTTTATGAGGGAAGATTTCATTCGGATGCTGGATTTCATAAGTCTCTGTGCATTTGTAGTAATGTAAAGAGTAGCACGAATACTTACTCCAAGAAATGCGTTATATCCCGTCGACTGCAGTTGGACCACGACACCTGCATGGTGTCCGCCTCGAAACTGGGCGTCATTATGTGCAAGATAGGCCCTATCCGGTGATCGCAGCCCGTCTTCGCCGTGTCGTGGTACATTCCAAAGCTGAAAGCGGGAGAGAGCGAGAATAGTGCATCATGAAGAGAGCGAGCAACCAAATGCTAATTTTATGGCATACAGTACACGTGGTTGCCTGTATTCAGGCGAAATTTCATACACTTTTTTTTCGGTTTTACCGAACTCGCTACATGAACTGTGCGTCCTCATATAAGTAACGTTAAAACCTAAGTCATGCCAATTTTAATTAATATCAATTTGTCATTAGTAGTGGGTCGTCAGAGAAATCGCCAAGGAGCGTATCGGAACCCTGAACGATTGCTAATTCACAGGCATTATGATCTGTGTGCGAACGAATCAAATATGCATGAAGTGGAAACCTTAGAACCTGGTAGATTTATGACGGTTTAGAAGAAATAAATCAAAAGCTGTATGCTAGTATATTGAGTAAGTAGGTACAGAGAATCAAGTGCACACACGAGAATTCGATATCCAGTCTAATGACTGACTTGAAGTGGTAGAAATGGCGCCCGGTTAGAAAAGGAAGGCGTTCGATAAATCATGACGTACCGCTGTGGTCGGTGTTCTTGGGTGTCAGTTGTAATTGAAGTACTCGAGGATTGTCGGTTTTAGGAGTTGTTTTGTTTGCGGCCAATTAACCTATCGACTGGTCGTAGGTGTGGACAGATTGGAATGATTAGTTGTAATGGAGCACAATTAGGTTTGATTTAGTTGTGATCTTGGGCCTGAGAGTGTTCTCATATGTAATGGTGGACTAGTAGAGTTCATTAAGGGAGAGTTTGAAAACAGCTAAGCCAAATTAAGACACTGAAACATGTTTACTTCATGCAATTAGATATGGTAATCTACCTAGTATGTTTTAATATATCGTTAGGATCCCATGAATGAAAGTGTAGGACCAGAAATTATTATCATGGTCATAATCATAAAAGTTCGGCAAAGTCTGGCAAGTCAAAACATTATTTTGCATTCCTAAACTTGAAAACGGCAAACGTACTTTTATATACAAGCACTTAAAAATCCCCGCAGAAGTGTGAATGGTATATAAAAATTAGCAATATTGCACGATTGCGAGACTGGTTTTTCAGCTCTCGAAACCAAATGTCAATGTTGGGCTGTAAGCAGAATTTATTAATATTACTCCTGTTACAATTTTGGTACATTGTTCATCTTCTTTCTGACTTTGATGCTCTGAGACAAAGTTGTAGAAAACTGGATTTCCTTTCTGAAAAATGGGGATGGCATCGTCCCATTCTATGCCATTCTTAAGTCAGAAGTTTATCATGAACCAGGTGAAACAAGTCCTAGTGGTTCTTATAAGCCACTCAAACCACCTCGCGTTTCCTACACATTTAGAAATTATTATCTGTTTTTTCTTGATTTGTTTTTCCGTTGATCTTGTTTTTCGTGCTGAGCACCAATGCTACCGACGCCATATCCGGGATAGCCAGTTCATCCAGATTTCTGATACGGCCTTTCTTTCCCTTTCCAGTACTCTTCATTTTTTTTATAATAAATGAGAATTGGAATAGCATCCTCGACATTAAAATTCAGTGACCTTCCAATTTTTTTTAGAATCCAGCTAAACAAAAATAACATGTGAATTTTTTCAGAAATCAAAGGAAAAAAACTGATTTTCTATATTTTTATAAAAATCAAAACGTGAAAGATCTGTTTTAAGCTCCCTCTTAAGGACAGTTTTTCATTCATTTGATCAAATCTGGGCTTTGTAGTCCAACTCCTCTGATTTCGGAAATCACTGACCCCGGCTCTGACTCCTGCTCCTCGACATCGACGCTGAATTTAATTAAATATATTAAAATTTTATTATAAATAATTTCAATTGTTTGAAAATTTAAGTCCAGTTCAGAAAAATACGTACAATTTCAAAATACATCCTCCTGCATTTAAGCAGAACAATTTTCATTGGAAATTAACTGGAAATTATCTATTTGATTTTGAAGATATTTCCGACATGCACTGAAGAGTTAACTTATTCACATGCTTCTACTAATTTTTTTAAAATTACTTGACTATATTTTTTCTGATTAAAAAATAGCGCCAATTCAGTATCTTAAACTCTTCGATGGCTTTGAAAACGATATGTCTGATCAAAATATTCCTCGAAATGCTTTTCCAAGCTTATTTAGATAAAAATATGCCTATTCAGCTAAGAAATGGCTTATTCAGCCTTTAATCAGCTCAAATTGTTTAATATATATAGGGCAATTTATTAATTGTATCCTGAACATTTCTTGTTGTCTATACTTGTCCACGTAGTCCCTCTGAATGCTCAGTAATATTCTGGACTTGTGCCATAGTTCAGGGCTTTCATGTTACTATGCTACTACTATGAGCTAACCTTCATCTCCTTCAAGGTGACGGTATCTGACGATCTGGTTGGTATTGTCAGCGATTCCTTCTACTGGCCCGAAGGCGTTCAGGTCCGTGAATTCGAATAAAAAACGGGAATCGACCAGTGAGATGACAGTCAACTTCGTACGGCGGAGAATTTTATTCGACCGGAGCGTCCTCCGGAGTCCAAAGTAGGCACGATTCCCTGCCATAATGCGTCTTTGAATTTCTCTGCTGGTATCATTTTCGGCGGTCACCAGTGAGCCCAAATACACGAACTCATCGACCACCTCGATTTCGTCACCGTCAATCTGAACTCGGTGTGGGACGCTAACATTGTCTTCCCTAGAACCTCTTCCTTTCATGTATTTTGTCTTTGATGCGTTGATGGCAAGTCCAATCCGTCTAGCTTAAGCCTTCAGTCTGATGTACGTTTCCGCCATCATCTCAAAGTTCCTTGCCATAATGTCAATGTCATCGGCGAGGCCAAGGAGCTGGATGGACTTCCTGAATATCGTGCCACTCGTGTCTATCCCAGCTCTTCTGATCACTCCTTCAAACGCGATGTTGAACAGCAGACACGAAAGTCCATCACCCTGCCGTAACCCCCTTCGAGATTCAAAGGGACTCGAGAGTGTCCCCGATACTCGAACAACGCACATCACTCGATCCATCGTCGCCTTGACCAATCGCGTCAGTTTATCCGGAAGTCCGTACTCGTGCATAATCTGCCATAGGTGATCTCGATCGATTGTGTCGTATGCGGATTTGAAATCGATGAACAAATGATGTGTGGGCACGTTGTATTCGCGGCATTTCTGCCGAACCTGCCGAATCGCGAAAATTTGGTCCGTGGTAGCGCAGGCACCCATGAATCCCGCCTGGTATTGCCCCACGAACTCTCTTGCATATGGTGACAGACGGCGGCATAGAATTTGGGAGAGTACCTTGTAGGCGGCGCTCAGCAGTGTGATCGCGCGGTAGTTGCAGCAATCCAACTTGTCGCCCTTTTTGTAGATTGGGCATACGACACCTTCCATCCACTCCTCCGGTAATATCTCCTCCTCCCAAATCTTGGCAATTACCCAGTGCAGCGCTCTAGCCAGTGCTCCATCACCGTAGTTATTAAGCTCACTTGGTAGTTGATCTACACCAGTTGCTTTGTTGTTCTTCAGCCGACCGATCTCCTCCTCAACTTCTTGAAGATCGGGGGCCGGTAACCTGTCGTCTTCTGCGCGTGCTCCAAGGTCTGTTGCCGTGCCACCTTCGTTTTCTGCTGCTTCACCGTTGAGGTGCTTGTCATAGTACTGCTTCCACCTCTCAATCACGTCACACTCGTTCGTGAGAAGGTTACCGTCCAAGTCCTTGCACATATCGGCTTGTGGCACGTAGCCTTTGTGCGAACTATTCAGCTTCTCGTAGAACATCCGTGTGTCGTTTACGCGGTACAGATTTTCCATCCCCTCGCGATCTCGGTCTTCCTGCTGACGCTTCTTCCTTCGGAAAACCGAGTTTTGTCTGTTCCGCGCTTGTCTGTATCGCTCCACATTCAATCTCGTGCGGTGTTGCAGCATTCTCGCCCGTGCTGCATTTTTCTCCTCTACTAACAGTTTGCATTCGCCGTCAAACCAGTCATTTCTTCGATCCGGGATTGCAGTACCTAGTGCCGCTGCAGCAGTACTACCTATGGCTGAACGGATATCCCTCCAGCCATCTTCAAGAGAAGCTGCGCCAAGCTGCTCTTCCGTGGGTAGTGCAACTTCCAGCTGCTGCGCGTAGTCCTGGGCAACTCCGGCGTCCCGTAGTTGCTCAATGTTGGGTCGCGGCGTTCGACTTCGACGGGTGTTATGAACCGTCGAAAGTTTCGAGCGCATGCATACTGCAACTAGGTAGTGGTCCGAATCTATGTTCGCACTGCAGTACGTGCGGACGTTGATAATGTCGGAGAATAATTTCCCGTCGATTAGAACGTGATCGATTTGGTTTTCTGTGTATTGGTCAGGTGATCTCCAGGTGGCTTTGTGGATATCCTTGCGGGGGAAAAAGGTACTTCGAACTACCATACCCCGGGAACGGCGCCGGTGGTGTAGTGGTAAGCGTGATTACCTCTCACCCCAGCAGGCCTGGGTTCAATCCCAGTCGGCGCCGCCGGGATGTTCTGAGGCATAACATCTCTGATCACGCCTTCCTTCGGATGGGAAGTAAAGCCGTTGGTCCCCGGTTCATGAGTTGATGGGTCGATAGGTAGGGTCCAGGTGTGGGAGCTGCCTTCCTGGCACGTCGGTAGCATTGGTGCTCAGCACGGAAAACAAGATCGACGGAAACAACAAACCAAAGGAAAAAAAAAATACCATACCCCGGGAGGCTGCAAAGTTCGATACGGCATTCAGGCTGTTTGGCCCGATTGCCGGTCTATACATTGCCTCCCGTCCTACCTGAGCGTTCATGTCGCCGATGACGATTTTGACGTCCCGTTGCGAACAGCCGTCGTACACCTGCTCCAGCTGCGCATAGAACGCTTCTTTCTCGTCGTCGGGTCTCCCTTCGTGTGGGCAGTGCACGTTGATGATGCTGTAGTTGAAGAAACGGTCCTTAATCCTCAACTTGCACATCCTCGCGTTGATCGGCTGCCAACCAATCACGCGTTGGCGCATCTTACCCAGCACTACAAA